GGGAGTACAGAACAAAATCGTTCATGTGCATTGAGGGAAAGTGGATTAACAACAGAGCATGCAGCGTGGGTACTCAATACATTCAGACCAAGACTCGTCATCCCACTCTTTATGTTACTGATTTTCCATGTATTAGCACATGTGGTCCTTTCTCATAAAGTACTTATTCTGAGAAAAAATAGTGTACATAACTCAAGCTCTAGACTGACCTGAATATCGAGAAGGATGTAGAGTCTTCCTTTTCCTCTTTTTAGGATGTTCATTCATTTTGAATAGTCTAAATTCATTGTAAAGTGAAAATATTCAAGAATTAGATTTGTCTGTATCTAGTTTTATCTTTCATGATTTTATGAAACAATACAAACATTTTGAAAACCTACACGTTGAACAAGAGGTTTCTTCCTACTCCCCTTTCTTGTCTCTCAGCCCATTCTGTCGCAGTTGAGAACACATTAAATGTGCGTAAGTACTGAAATCTAGTTTTGTATTCCTGCCTGGGACCAAAAGAAGGTTCACTATAAAGACAGACAGGTCAGGACTCCCAGCACTCAAGTACGCAGTGTAACCTAGGAGGCAGTTTTCCAGTACCCTGTTGACTTTTGTCAGAAGCCAAATATTCTGAAGCAAAGTCCTCCAGATAAAGCTTGCATGTTGAAAATACTAACAAAATCATGTTCTCTTACCAAAAATCCTAGACTCTTCAGTATCAGCAAACAGAGCAGCCAAGCAGCTGATGGCTGTACACCTTCTAAATGCAGTGAACACATCAGCTTGAGAAGATTTTCATCTATGGAGTGACAGCATTTTAAAACACTTTAAAACTTCATCACAAAATAAACAATCAGATATACAAGTACTACAAAGAATGAAGCTACGAAAACCAAAGTAGAAAACAACAACAAAACAACAAAAAGTTTATACTAATCTTGGGTTAGAGTATCAAATAAGGTAGATGTATTATTTATTCTCCTTTTGTCCTGGGTTAGTTGGCTTTTGCTGCACTTGGCAGCTCCTGACAACAGAAAAATAAAGATGACACGGAAAATACTTGTGCTGTATAACGGCCCAACCACTTTTGAAGAAGAAAGGGCTGCAAACACGGAGCCTGATGGGGTTTACTCTAACACTGGAGTACTTATGGGCCCAGGGTTTTCTGAAGCCAATGCCATCCACTAGAGATGAGAGCAGGGAAGGCCCCTCATCAAGTAAACGCTATTCTCATGAGATGGAGTATTTGTGTGAATTAAAGTTTTATCTTAAGGGGAGAACATGAAAAAAAAAAAACAGTTTAACATGATATCGTGGTCTGGAAATATCACCTACTCTCACTGCTTTTTCTGGCTGCAAGGGAAGAGCTTGCAGTTTACTGAAATAGCAAGTTTTATCGCAGTTCATGCGGTTAACCCCTTCTGCCCACAAACCGGCCCGGGGGACAGTAAGGCCCGTTATTCTTCTCCAGCGGCTTTCCCCGGTACGTCTGACCCAGCTGCTCGGCGCGGTTATGGGAAAGGCTCATGGAGGCCCTGAAAATGGAGATCCCCGGCCCCTCAGAGCCCCCGGCCGCGGCCTGCGCGGGTAGCGGAGCCGGGAACCGCGGAC